AAGAGGACACATCTCATTCCAATTACACATAAAATCACACTCTAATTTTCTCCTTAGCATCTTTCTTTTTGTTCATGTCATCTTTCTTAGTTTTCTTGTACGAAACCCAATCATTATATAATTTCCATTCTAATTAGTTTTAGTTTATCAAAATTTTGCTAAAACAATTTGGTTCCGTCTGTGGGAAACGTGAAAGAAAAACTATCATTCATGGAAGGTTATATCTCAATGTCAATGGCGCGACTCAAGATGCAATCGAAAGTTGGGAAGGAAGGAACGAAACCTATCATCTTGTCAACTGTTCATACGCCAACCGTCACCGCTGGTTTCATCTCGTTGAACTCGACTACACCTTACAGACTTAAAAATGCAGGGGACAACTTTCAATGGCTAGTGACGATGGTGTTCAAAAATCAAAGAGGGGAAAACGTGGAGTTGTGCACAGACGATGTGATGATTTCGTCAAAATGTACAATTGAAGCTTCCTTACGCGGTTGGGTACTTGGGTGCATTTTCGAAGGCAAAGCAATCGCAAAGAATCCAAAAGCGAAAGAAAACATTGACATCATCAAAATCACGACGACTTGTTACGACGAACGTACCATCCAATAAGCTAAGTCCCGAGGGAGGAGAATACGTAGGATGACGATCTAGTGGTTCTAGGGACGTATCGGGCCTTGGAAGTCAGTAGAAACGTCACATTGGTGTATTTGACAAAACCGACGATTGACATACCAGACGACATGACTGAAATCGTCAGACATGTGGCACATCGTCCAATGGTAGACAGGTTCTGAAGAGCTCCAAAACGGTACTCTTAAAGTTGTTTCATTTTTAATTTATTATTGTCACTCCTGAGGTGAGATAGACCAGACGACGTGATCAAAATCACCAGATGAGGGCATGTCGTTCGATAATAGACCTGACGAGATGATTGAAATCGCCTGACTATGGTCACGTTCTGACCATAGATCTCTATTTAGTTTCATATATGTATTCTTAATTTATTACTTTCCTTTATATATAACACGATCACTAACTTAAGCGTCGGAGGGCCGTTGGCTTCTAGCCAACGGCCGACGTTAACGAATTCTTTTTTGCCCAGGAACCGTGGACAATGGACGAGACGATGTCCTAACATACAAAGCCTTACAACACGTCAAAACACAATTGACGGGGGGGCTTACATCAAACAAAGCCTTACAACACGCCAAAACACAATTGACGGGGGGGGGGGGGGGGGGGGCTTACATCAAACGAAGCCTTACAAAAAAAAGTCAAAACACAATTGACGGGGGGCTTACAAAATTTTAGGGGAAGAAGTGGAATTTTCATGTACGTTAAACATGAGTATAAACACCACCGATTCTCCACAATGTTTTGGCCAAAACTACAGAAATACACGACAGAAGCATATGCTCCAAAAGCATGACAACAGAAGCTCCAAAACATAAGGAGACAATATGAACGACATCGACACAAATCACAAACACTCATGTCGACAATGTTGCTAAAAATACAAACGAAACGTTATTCAATTTTTTGCAGGATATGGACCGTGTTCACGCAACCCAAGTCGTCATCTTCAACGACGGACGATGTTTCCTTTGCCAGCTGAAGTGTTTACATCGACATGAAAGATGTTCTAAATTTATGTCATCTAGTCGTCAGCACAATTTTGGAGGGAAGAAGATAAAATGCCAGCTTTCAGTCTTCATTGTTTTAGTCAAGGAGACGGATTTGAACGGAAGATTCGAAAAAAGGACGAAATCTCAGATAAGACGACCACTACGTCCTATCAAGTCGCTGACGAGCCGATAGATGCAATGAACCAACATGCAAAATGTACTTTCAAATTTTCGACAAGTTGATGCTTAATAGGTCGACATATGCATGATACGCCTCAACTTCTCGCAAAGGGGCTATTGTTGGTGCAGGAATTTGACAGCTTGTTCCACATTCAAGAGACTTGATCATGGCAATTAATGACATATTTATTAGGCTTAATGCTACTAGCTGTTATAACGGTTTTGTATGTTTATTGCGGCTATTAATGTAATTAAAGCGGGAGTTACACAAATAGGATGATCAACGTTAATGACGGCATAATGACAACTTTGAATGTCGTCATAACGGTCGAAACCGTCAACAACAGACAAAAGGGCATTAATTACCACTCCTATAAGTAGTATCGAGCTCAGTTGTAAGAGGACACATCTCATTCGAATTACACATAAAATCACACTCTAATTTTCTCCTTAGCATGTTTCTTGTTGTTCTTGTCATCTTTCTTAGTTTTCTTGCACGAAACTCAATCAATATACAATGTCTATTCTAATTAGTTTTAGTTTAAAAACTAAAACTAATTAGAGTTTTAGTTTTAGTAAAGATTGTCTCATGCCAAATTTGGTAAAGATTGTCTCATACCAAATTCGGTAAAGATTGTGTGGCTCTAAATCATTCTTACTTTATTCTTACTTTATTAATTTAATATCAACCACACAAAATCATTTTTCTTAATAATCGTGCCACCTTCTTCCGTCTCAATCTTAGTTGGACGGAGGTAGTACAAGACTACAAGGTTTCACTTTGATTTGATATTTTATTCCCATTTCCCAATGACGCTTTGAACTTCGACGACGGATTCATGAGCTTTGAACTTCGACGACGGATTCATGAGCATTTCAGAAAAATGCATCTGTTAAAAAGTAGAGACAGAGAGAGAGAAATGATGCTTATATTGTCCAAAAGGTTGAATCGCTAACCCCAAGCGCCTCCATGCCCCGACCCGACAGAGCACTTGGGAGGATGTAAGTCACAGTGACTCAGTCAGCAGAGTGGCGTAGGTCATACGAAATGATGCTTATATGAACGTGTCGAAGGAAGAGCTAAGTGGCCTTTGTTTTTGTTTTGGCAGAACGAAATGCAAACCAACGAAGTAGGGAAGGAGAGAAGTGGTGCAATTCCTTCATTCAAAATTCATTTGTAAAAAAACCATTTACTAAATTTATTAGCCATACAACGAAGTAGGGAAGGAGAGAAGTGGTGCAATTCCTTCATTCAAAATTCATTTGTAAAAAACCATTTACGAAATTTATTAGCCATAAAATTATTCCATCTCTCATCTCTGATAGTTTTAAAAATGGTGTTTGTTCCAACAGTGTTAGCTATCCGCACAGGTAGTTCAGTTGATTGAGTGATATGAAAGTTGGAAGAATGACCAAAGATCGAAACTCGCAGCAGCCGTATGGAGGTTACAACTCCTATGTACTGGGCTGGACCTCTGATGCGTACGGGTACAAAGTCTATCATCATTAGGCCAATTGAGTCACCGTGACTTACAACCTCCTAAAAGTCTTATCGGATTGGAGCGTGTTGGCTCTTGGTGTTGGGATTCAACCTTTGTGGAAGAAAAATAGTGCTAGCTTAGTAATAAATTTTACGTAGTAGTATGGAGTATGTATTTAGACACAATGCTAAAAATTATACTAAATCATACCAGTAAAAAACAAATTCTAAAATAATTATAAATTGGTAAATGGTAAGTACTCAAGTTTAGAGAATAATTAACTAGATGAGTTAATCAAGAAAAGTAACATTGAACATCGTTTTGAAACCAAAGAAACATTATACTAAAAGAGTAAGATGATCTTTCCACACTTTTTTATTTCTAAAAACAATAACCGAAGGCAGACTAATCGCATGAACACACTGTTATGGGGTAACTTTAATACGAGTATGTAGTACTCCGTATCACTTATAACACCTCAGATCATTTATTAATGAAAATAGTACTACGGGGTAGGTAACAAGTAATACTGGTAAGATAGTGAAATGTATTTCTACCATTTCCAAAAGTACATAAAATTGATTACTTGACCACTCTAGAACGCACATGATTTAGTAATACTCTCTATGTCCCTAAATAAAAATCTCATTTTCATTTTTGGTAAACAAAACAATGCAATTAAAACAGTACCAAAAAATGTCAAACTGTATCCAAACAGTATCGAACAGTATTCAGGCCCGGTCATGGGCAAGGGCAGGCTGGGCTTGTGCCCTGGGCCCAACATTTATAGGGGCCCATAATTTTATGTATATACAATTATACATATATATAGATAAGAGAGGTCAATTCATATCAGGTCGATATCATTTGGAGCCCTTTACGGAGGAATTTTTTTATGAAACTTTCTGCGCATATTCTTCATCAAGTGTAGATTCATCCACAAAATTTCAGATTAAAATTCAATCGGAAAGTCAGTTAAATAAAATATTGAAACAAACTGTGCTATATGCATTTAAATAATGCGCAGTATGTTTCAATAATTTATTTAACTGACTTTCCAATTGAACTTTAATCTGAAATGTGGAGATGTTATACACTTGATGAAGAACATACTTAAAAATTTGCATAAAAAAATTCCATCGGGAAAGGCCCCAAATGGCCTAAGCCTGATAGCAGTTCCCGTCAGGCCTTCCTAATTTCAAGGTTTCATTTTTGGACTTTAATTCGGTTCGATCAACAATAAACACTCTCCTAATTTCCTCAAGAATATCTTCCAACTTTGAAATTTCAGTTTAACTACAAGTAATTCTCTAATTTTATTTTTTAATACTTCGGATAATTTATATTCTTTTAGTTCATATATTTTAAGATTTTGTGAAAGACTTACATTACTTTGTTGGAAATTTGTGTATATATAGTTAAGCTTTGCAATATATTTATATAACCTTTTAAGAGACTTTTTTTCAATCAACCCGGGACCATAAAATGTCAAGACCGGCCCTGACAGTATCAATCAACACCATTTTCTTAAAATGTGTAAAAAAACTAATGGATACCTTTGTTTAGGGACGGAGGGAATAGTAAGAATGGAACTAAAGTTGATCGGTATTTGTGTAAAACGAATCAACCCCACTTTCACATAAAACAACATATGCTCGGTATCTAAGAGCAGAAAAGTTGATCGGTTTCATAAAGACGGACAAAGAGGTATTTGTTCTATACGGAGTATATGGGGTGTTTGGAACTAATTCTATTTCTGCTTTTTTTAAAGCAGAAGCAGAATTATAATCAGTTTTCACAAGTTGATCTCCTCCAGCTTTTTAAAAAACTGATTCTAGGAGTAAATTAGAGCATCAGAATCACTTTAGCACTTTTACCCAAACACTCCAACTTCTGTTTCTTCTCTCTAAAGGAGCAGAAGCAGTTTTAAGAATCAGATCCAAACACCCTCTATATCTAATACTACGTATATACAGAAGAGTCCACCTTAAACTCTAATAATAAAACATTAAACATTGAGTCATCAAGCACATTAACTACTAACATGGAATAATCACCATACAATACAATATTACAGTTTATGACTTTATGTTTATAAAGTACAACCACATTATATATTACTTCTCCACAATGGCATTAGCACAAGGGTTGCGTTCAATAGCCACAAAAGCTCCACCACTTGCTACAATCTTTAGCAAGATAATCCAAATGGCTGAGTTGCTATAAGTCATCATCACCGACAATATCAAGCTATAGTATTCATGAAACACTTTAAGCCAGTGGAATAAACCACTTGCCATTATGATCAAGTGGGGTAAAAAGAGAGGGTCATGGAAGACTATGAGCCCGCCCATTTAATGATGACAATTTTCGGCTTACATCAGCCTTATCAGTAACTTTAGTGCGTACACATAATTTGTAGTTTCGTGCATTAAATTGTATAATAATCAAAATAAATAAAGTTAGAAATATTTTTCTAATTGAACTGGTTGGAGTTACTGTAGGGGACAATTATAGCTAGTTTTTATATAATTTTTTCTTTCTTTATTAACAAAATATATTTTAGGATTATTAGCTAAATATATCTACTCCAACTATCATCAAATTCATAAATCTATCACATACTTTCACTTTTATAAAAAAAGGACTCAAACTTTAACTTTTCTCACAATTACACTTTCAATGGATGAATTAGTAAGACTTAAGAAGAAAGTCATATTTATATTTCATATTTTTCACTTTTTTGTAGTTTTAAGTTTACAAACATTTCTATATTGATAAAAATGTGTAATTTTGAAAAAAAAACAAAAAAGGAAAGCATTATTGTTGAAAAAGATGAAGTTGAGTCTTTTTTTATAAAAGTGAAAGAATAAGATAAATTTGTAAATTTGATAATATTTGGGATAAAAGAAGCTAATAATAATACAGAGTATATTTTAAATATAACCTTTATTTGATTTCGTCTAGGGGTGGGTTCGGTTCAAACGGTTCGGTTTTCACCTAAAACCAAATGCCGAATCAAAGTAAAAAGTTCGGTTCGGTTTTATGTTCAAAAATTTGGAACCACGGTTTGTTCGGTTCGGTTTATTTCGGTTCGGTTTCGGCTTTTTCTGTTTTTACCAAAATATTTTTGTTGATTAGAAAAACCGTAAATGGAAAACAAAAATAAAAAAATAAACTACATCAAACTTTTATTAATAGTAATACAATACAAAAACATACATAATTAAAAAAAAAAAGAGAAAAGAAACAAATGCACTTCTAAGCAATGAATTGGAGAGTACGTGTATACCAACTTAAACATTTCTTAAATTAATTAAACATGTGAGTTTATTTGTGAATTATATACGGTGTATTCACAAGTTAAAATTTTATTAGTAAATAACTTAATTTACTTTCTTTTTAGATAAATATATTTATGCTTTAAAGTTTCATGTTTTCTGCTATGTCGTTTAAAAAATACTTTATATTAATACATATTTGTTCAATGAAAAAATTATGTGATAACAAACATACATATAACATATAATATATCAACAAATATCATTGTCATGCAACAACAAGCGAAATGTAAATTACTCGTATGATTTAAAATATCAACATAATAAAAATAAAGCAATAGACTTAATTGTACGTAGAAATATTTCACTTAATTAAACCATAAATGTTAAATGTCAATAACTTGCAAATCTTAATAAATCTACTATCAAACATTAATTTTATAGAATTAAGAATTAAGAACTAAATAAAATATTATACTTAATGATTAATAAATAAAATAACAAGTTTTAAAAAGTTCGGTTTATTCGGTTCGGTTCGGTTTTGAGATGTGAAAACCAAAATCGAAACCAAATAACTATGGTTCGCAGGGGCGGATCCAGGGGCGAGCCGGTGCCGGCTCCACCCCTTCACCGGAGTTTTTTAATAGTAGTATTAGGTATGTAGTTTCCCGCCCCTGTATCTTCATCTTCTTCTTGGGACTTGCGGACCTGCGGCGGTGCGAGATGCAGAGCGGAGAACGACATTAGCTGTAGCAGTTTTTTTAGGGAAAACTGTCAAATAGGTCCTCGAACTTTCATAAAAAAGTCAATTAAGTCGTTCTATCGGAGACTCTGTCCGGTCGTCGCGATTTGGGGCGGTTCCTGGTGGAATTTTTTTATGAAATTTTTTTAGCATCTTATTCATCAAGTCTAGTTTATTCATACCGAATTTCAGCTAAAAATTTAATCGGGAGCGCATTCAAATTAATTCGAGAACGCAAAAATGCGCAGTTATCTTCAAGAATTAATTTGAATGTGTTCCCGATTGAATTTTTAGCTGAAATTTGGTATGAGTAAACTAGACTTGGTGAATAAGATGTTCAAAAAATTTCATCAAAAAATTCCACCGGTAACTGTCCCAAATCACGACGGCCGGACAGAACCTCCTATAGAAGGACTTAATTGACCTTTTTACGAAAGTTCGAGGACCTATTTGACAGTTTTCCCGTTTTTTTATTAATTCATTAGCCAAACGATGTCGTTTGGTTACCACTGTGTTTTGAATTTTAACTCTAGCAGAGAGGTTATTAAGTCCTTGAATCCTATCCTATCCTATATTCATATTCCTATATTCCTATATATACCTAACAAAAATGATGTTTGTACTCACTCTTATACCCACTTTTGTACCCACCTATGTTTGTGAAGTGTTTTATTTTTGTCTGTGAATCGGGTTCACAGACAAAAAAAAACACTTCACAAACATGCTGGGTATAAGGTGGGTATAAGAGTGGGTACATGTTGTATACTTAAAGGGAGAATCTCTCTCCATAAGACTTTCTTGCTTCTCTCCTACCCCATTCACGACCTTTATTATTCTTTCCTTTTAAACATTCCGTTTCTTTGGACGATTGCTCACCTGAAGCAATAAAACCACAAAAATTCTATAGGTACCCCAAAATGTACCTCATTTTATACCCACCCCCCTGAATTGTCTGTGTACACAGGCAATTCGTTTGAAAGAGGGCAAGACTTTCAGTCCAAATGTCTGTATACACAGACGGTGTACAGATTGTGGTACAAATTGGGGTACCCCAAGCAGGACCCATAAAACCATTCGCTCACTTAAATCACTACTACCTGGTCCACCGTTTCTCTCTGAAATAAAATCGTTCCCTCCTTTAGGCCTGTCAATGGGTCGGGTCCAGGCCGGAATGTAGTGTTCCAGACCCGGACCCGCTAAGTAAATAAGGGACCCGGACCCGTTTACCCGTCGGGTCTGCAATTTTGGATCCGGACCCGGACCCAACGGGTCTCGGGTCTGGATCGGGTAGACCCGTCATTTTTTTGGAAGATTAGACCCACCAAATATAAAACAAAACGTGTATATGAATCATGAATGTAATGCAATTCCACAAACTAGCTACATCTAGATCTCAATCATCCTTAATACGGAGTAATAAGTAAAACACGTCTTTTTAAAAAAAATTGATGTTCACGTAACAAACCAGTACTTTCATCCAAACGTATTGAATGTCTTTGATAGTGAAATAAACAAAACTAAAATAGAATATCCCATTTTGTTTTAATATGTATTAATGGGATACTAGTTTTAGGTATGTATTACTATATTAGTATATGAAATATATATTAATAAAAAAATTATAAACGGGTCCGGGTCCTTAATGGGTCGGAATCATATGTACCATACCTGGCCCATTTATTAAAATATTAACGGGTCCGGGTTCGGGTCCGGGTAAACGGAATAAAACATAGACCCATACCCATTAAAAATAACCGGGTTCGGGTCGGGTCCGGGTCTAGACCCGACCCATTGACAGGCCTACCCTCCTTACCTCTTTCTCGAACCATACTGTTTCTCTCATAATCCTAAACCCTTCCTCCCGATTCAAGCTTCCTATTAAGCTCCATTACAATCTCTCAATCAGTTTCTCCATCCGATTAATGCTTCGTATCAAGCTTCATCACCATCTCTCAATCTGTTACTTCAAGCTCCGTTTCCATCTCTGAATCAGCTTCTCCATTAGTAAATCTATGTTATTTTTTCATAACTTGCTATGCTTATTATAAATCTCAGGGGTCACAAACTCCGTATAATAATAACTTGCTATGCTTATTTATAAATCTATGTTTCTGTAGTTTTTTTTATCCCCCTAATGTTTGACAAAATGCTTAGGTGAATGGTGATCTTTTTTTTTAAATCTGAGATAGACTATGTACATCACAATTAAAAAGTCATGTTTGCAAGTATCTAAACCAGCTTTTTTTGCTCATACAAAATGTACTACGTATAGTGAGGCCAACATTTCATTAAAAAGCATCAAAACAACTCTTGTACCCTTTTAAAAATTGGGGGTACCGTACTTATCATGCATTTGATTGGTCCAAATCATTCTATTCCTTTTAATTTAGATTTAATTAATTCAACTGCATCATTCCTATTGGTCAATGTGGACAAAGGTATGATACCTTAAGGGTACCATAGAATCTACCTAAAAAAGAATGTATAAAATCAGATTTCTTCACTTTCTTGTCGGACCTATTGGGCTTCCTCCTCCTCCTTGTCGATGCATTACCGGTGGGCGTAGCCCAACTGGTAGCAAGGGAGTGCCACAAGGGTTAGGTCTCGGGTTTGAATCCCGGCAACTGCGATGAGGGGTTACTGTGCTGAAAAATGCATAGGGCCTCTGCAAGTATCGGGGACAGAGCCTCACTCTCTATCTGTCAGATTGTGATTATAGTCCAATTTACATCCTCCCATCGTGTCGTCCGGTCAGTGTTTGGGGGCCGGGATGGGGTGTCATCCTTTTTTTTTTCTCTTTTCTTTCTGACTTAAAGTAAAGGCTCCTAGGAGCACGCTTACCATAGCAAAGAAGAGTGACTCTTCCCACACCTGGAAATCGCATGTGTTCAAAATGATTTTGAAGGCGGGACTGCCTAAGCTTGACCTGAAAGACCCATACCTGATTAGGAGTAATGCTTACAAATGGGAAGAGAAAGAACACCTTTGTTGTCATAGGTGTTTGGTTTAAAGTTTAAACTTTTAAAAACACTCAGCACAAGTGTCAAGTGTTTTTCAACTTTTCGGAAAGCTGGGAATCTGTTCTATACTCCGTATTATTTTTTTCTATTATTCTCTTTCTGGAAACTGATTCTTTACGGTTAGTGGCCACCTAGCGACCAGTTTTCCATTTTCATGGCGATTTTGTGGATTAATCTTAGTTGCACTAAGAGATGATTTTTTTAAAGGATGATTTCACTTGGAGCCTGGTTCTTGGTTCTGTAACACATAACAGCCCCTCTTATTATGGTCCCAATTTGCCACTTGCCACTCTAAATTATGGTTCTAATTTGCCATGGGAAATTCTTCCTCAAACTCCGGCATGGAAATTTTAGAGGGAAAATATGATACAATAAAGCAAAATGACACACTAAACTCTCTTTCTTTCTTTGTTATGGGGCGACAATTAGTTTATGCAATTTTTCGACGCAATTTTTCTCATGCATGGGTCATCCTGAAACAGTCTTTAGGTGCTTTAGTACAAAGGTAAGACTGCGTACATCCTACCTCCTTTGTGGCACTGGGGTAATGATGATGATGAACAACAATACATCTGGGAATAAAATACATAAGCATAAACAAAACAAATTATATAAATTTGTAGCTTAGTTCAAAAGCTATAATGTGAAGTAATAAAGACAACAAGGATTACACTAATAAGGCTAAAATGAAGCAATAACAATATGCTAACCTCAACAAGTTATAATGGAAAACAATGAGATCCCTTGAACTAAAGATAAAGTTAACTACAATTTCAGCCGCATATACTGACATTGTGCATTTGCTCCAAGAAGTCTGATCAAACCATGTACAAAACTGAGAATCCTTGCCTAGAAGGAAATGTCGACCTTCTATTTATACTAATAGCAAATAATTTTAGGTAATTTATATAAAAGGTATAATTGTATAAATAACAACCTTAGCTTTTCCGAGAAAACAGTTTTACCTTTACTTATAAATACATTTCAAATATTTGGTCTTAAGAATTGCTCTTTTTGGACACCTGAAAGGAGCTTTACGGGTTTTTTTTTGTGGTGTTTCTAGTGCGTTGGGATGATGGTCACTCTGGATAAGATATTGATTGCGTTGGGATCTGCACATTTGGATGTTCCTTTTTGGGTGCTTGAGGTTTCGATGGATATACAGATTTGCAGGAGGGGGAAGATTTTTCTTTTTTCTTTTTTGCCTTTGTTTTTCATTAGCGCTTTTATTTCATTAGCTTTTATTATTCTTTAGCTTTCTACCTTCCATAAAAAGAATAGCTCTTTTGGGATATTTGTTCTTTTTCTTGAGTGATTGGGATATTTGTTTTTAAGAATGCCTCCACAAATTTATATTTATATAATTATATATACTACATTTAATATTTGGACTTCTAATTCTAAGAGTTTTTTTATTGATCAAGTAAGAAATGAGTTATTTTCATTTGTGTATTTCTTAATAACTTTGACAAGTTAATAATGACAGTAACCCAAGGATCAATCATGATAAATAAGGAATAATTAGGTATTAAAAATAGTCATTTTGAACTATTTGTTCTCAAGAATGCCTCTACAAGTTAAGAATAACTTCTATTTACACTAATTTTGAGATTAGAACTCCCAATTCTTGATGGTTGATTGATCTACAATGTAATCAAGTACTCCCTCCATCCCAATATAAAATGCACATTTTCCTTTTTGGGTCGTTCCAATATAAAAGGCACATTTCCCTTATTGGCAAACAAAACAGTGCAAAACAATGTCAAACAGTGTCCAAACAGTGTCAAACAGTGTTTAAACATTGTTCACCCTAAAAATGTATGGAAAAGCGAATGTGTCTTTTATATTGGGACGAAGGGAGTATTAAAAAGAAAGAAGTGGTCAAGATTGAGGCAGGATATCGATGATTCAGGAAGACCTACTTCTCTCTTGCAAGTTGTAAGGATCTTTTATATTTTATTTAACAAGAAGTGTCTTTTAAAAAACAATGTTTGATTTCTCTATGGAGTCATGTATAGGCTATGTGGGAATTTTAGTAATATAAGGATTTTTTAGTGGGGCCCTTACTAAAAATGTGAGGTGATGGTGGTGTCCACATAGTCTATATGACTTCATAAGAAATCATATATGGTTCTTTAAATCCTCTTATGTATAAGTCCTATAAACTAGCATGGTCAATTTTTATATTAATATGTGTAATGAAAAAGCAAAGCATTATGACTCCGTATGGTGACTTTTTTCCCTACTTTTTAGCTTTATCAACCAATTGTTTTGATCAAATATGTAACTTTTGATTCGTCCACCAATTTCTGATAAGTTAAGTCAGAGTTGCTTTTCTTGTTTAAATGATTGAGCTTACATAAGTTATTTTAAATATACTTTTTTCATAAGTTAGCAAATGTGCAAATTCAACCAAATTCGATTGTGTAGGTGAAATTAAAGATAAACAATGTTAAACACAAATTTGTTATTTTGAATTTTGAAAGGTTACTAGAAATAATAATTAGATAGAAATAATAAATTAAAGCATGTTTGGTAACAATGAAATTGGCCGAATATGCTAAAATTGTTCAAATTTTGATTAAATTAGCAGAATTGCGAAAAAAGTATTTGTAATATATTTATTAAAAAAAGTTATATAAAAATAGCTAAAATGATTCTCTATAGTAATTTCAATTAATTGATTAGAAAAGTTAACTTTAATTTTATATACTCTGTACTACGTATTTGGTAATTATATACGGAGTAATTCATTGTTGAAAAATGTGTTAATAAATTGCATTAAATGGTCATTTTGAGGCAATTTTGGGAGTGGGATCCACTTCCGATTTGGGTCAGGTCAAAGTGGTTTCGGATTGTGCTTGCTAAGGGCTACAATTCGATATAGGTACACTCAAAACGGATAACGGGTGAATGAGAAATTTATTCTCGAAGTTTACCCGTTAGAATGAAAAAATTGGGACAAATGATGGGTTTCTAGTGTGTTAATTTCCCACAACGGAAAACTGCGACTTGCGGACACGAATGTTGTCCAGAAATCAGATCAGAAATATTCAGATCATATCAGATCAGAACTTAAAAAATTCAGATCAGAAACATTTAGATCAGACGAAGAGAACAACTTCTTACAATATAATACTATAATACTATCTCCGCAACATAAAGATGTTCTCATTTCAAAAGTAGGTAGATTAAGAATAGTGAAAAAAGAGTATAAACTATTGCAGGTATGACGGGAAGAAAGATTGAATAGTGTGATAAAATAAAAGATAAATCCAAAAAGTAGTTGTAATACGTAGTACTCTGTAGTATATTACTTTCAAAATTATTAAGGACATAATGTGAAGATTTAGAAATAAAAAGATTTTTTCTTTACGGGTGAAAAAGAAAAGTGAGAGGATCTTTTCCTTTACGGAAGGAGTGACATTAGGTATTTTCGTATAACTTTTTGTTTATTTTATTTATAAAATATATTTTAAATATAATTGTAATATAAATAAGGAGAATCATTCAATCCATCTGTGTTTAGGGCATGTGTTCACTTCTTTCCCGCCCATTCAAATCACATATGAATCGTACAAATGTATGTCAGTCAGTATGTGTAGGTGTCATAATAATGATGAATGATGGGTGTTTCTCTTGATAAGACTCATCAGCTACCTTCATTTGATTTTAGTTCCGAACGACACTCTTTTTGCTACAAAAGGTACGAGTATAACATTAACAGCGTCTCCCGAGTATCATTTTTTCTTAAACGGAGCTATAAACACACACCTAGCACTTAATTAAGCAGCAGTCAATATTGAATTATGCAAAATATGGTTTATTTTACCGCAATATTCAGAGCCCGTTTGGTAACACTAGAATTGAATAAATCGGTTGATTCTATTGAAAGTTATGCAATTCTAAGTGAAGTGATTAAATCTGCTGATTTATGAAAAAAATTATATTTATAATATTTTTTATTAATAAGATAAAGAAAAAAATTATATGAAAAATAACTAAACTGATCATCTACAGAATTGCAGCCAATCCAACCAAAAAAGTAAATTCAACTTTATTTTTTCTTATTAAAACACAATTCAACGCGCGAATTCATAAATAACATGTTTGATGAAATGCAACTCATAAGCTTGCTAAGCCGAAAAATGATGTCACCAAACGGCTTCTTAAAGCATTTTATTGACAAATATTTAATTTTCGAGTGTTAAATCCTAAGAAATAGACATGTGGTTAGTGATAGACCTGCACAAAACCGGGCCGGCCCGCCCAGCCCGCCCGGCCCGCCCATATAAATGGGCGGGTTTGGACACATGTTTTAGCCCACCGGGCCGGGCCGGGCCGGGCCCGTTTGCGATATGGGCGGGCTTGGGTTGTAATATAGGCCCGGTCGGGCCTAAAAGCCCGGCCCGTAAACATAGTATATATACTATATATTATACCAAGTATATAATATAATTATACAATATACGTACATAAAATTTAAGTTAAAAATTAAAATACTTGACATACTAAAGTTTGCAGACCAACTAGCATCTTTATGGTTAGTTGTCTACTGGTATTCCATAATTCCATCGGCCCAACCAAGTACTCTGTATCAAATTAGAAATTTAAAATACTCAAAACCCTGTTTTACTTTACTCTTCCGTCTTCGTATACCAGCCCCCAAAGAAGAACGACTGCTCCTAGATTATTAATTTAGAATTTGAGTGTTTTTATTTTCCTGAATTGTTTGTGTATTTCATGAAAACATATTTTTGTGTTATGAGTACATTAATTGCTTTTAAAATGTTGTGATGTTATTGTATACTCCCTCCGTCCCGCTATGATTGTCCCATTTTACCATTTCGGTCCGTCCCACAAAGATTGTCCCATACCTTATTTGGGAAAGTTAGTGTGGTTCTAAATCATTCCTACTTTATTCTTACTTTATCAATTTAATATCAATCACATAAACTCACTTTTATTAATAATCGTGCCACCTTCTCTTGTCCCAAACTTAGGGGGACGGAGGTAGTAAATGTTTTCTTTTTTAAAAACAAATTTGGAAAGAGGATAATTTTTCCGGGCCTAGAAGCCCGATGGACAGCCCGACCCGCTATCGTGGGCGGGCTTGGACATATGAGGAGGCCCGTGGTGCCGGGCCGGGCCGGACCCGCCCACTACAAGTGGGCGGAGATTTTAGAATAAGCCCGGCCCGAGCCCGCGTTTGTGCTGGTCTAGTTAGTGATTATTATGCATGACAAATATCCCATTTGATGACCATGTTTTTCTTATTAATCGATTTTTCTACAAACACATACTCCCCCGTCCCAAAATGATGGTCCTGTATTTCCTTTTTGGGATGTGCCAAAATGATGGTCATGTTACCCTTTTTGGAAAGAAAGATGTGGTCCACATCATTTCACCTTTTTCTACTCAAATCTCAACCACAACTTTTACCTTTTCAATCACTTTATTAAAATTTGTGCCCAAAAGAAGAGTAAAATGCATAAATGGTCCTCAAACTATCATCACCATATTGTTTTGGTCCTTCAACTAATAAATATATCACTTTAGTACCTATTCTATTTAATGCATCTTAATTTGGTCCTTCTGTTAGTTTTGGCCGTTTACATTCACGTGGTCAAACATACAATATTTTATAAATTGTTATAAGACCCATCTTTAACTAAATAATTTCCTTTTTGCCAAAAAAAACAGAATAATTTCCTTGTTGATATTAACCTTAATCAAACATATTTTTAAATATTAATATGCTTCCCTTACTCAACAACCAATTACTCAACTATATTACTACTCCATATGTATTAAAATGTTTTTGTTTAGAATACTCAG